CATGGGCCCAAATCCTCTTAGGGTTATTCTAGTGTCGGGGTCTCCTACTTATCCCCAAAGTATGAGCTCAAAAGCGGTGAATCACTTGGGGTAGTTCCCTCGTTAGTTTCAAAGACTATATATTCCACTATCGTCATCAAAATTGACGAGTTTTAAGGCAAAATCCATCCGATTTCAGCCAATTTCATAATCTTTTGATTAATATTGAGAGAAATCAAACAATACTATCGAATAGAATATTCAAAGTTGAACACTGCTGGCATAAATCATAGATAGAATCTGATTGCTCTGAATATGGATATACTGATTTCAATCAATATCTTGAATTCAAGCTCAAGAATAACGTGACAGTAGTATTGATAACCCACAGATTCATGACAATTGTTCATACCAGCAAAAAATTAACTTTGAATAGTCTATTCGATATTTTTGGTTTGATTTCTTTCAATACTAAACACAACGAGCATGGAATCGATTGGATTTTACCTTCAAATTTATAAATTTTGTTCAGTCAAATCAATTGTGAAGTTTTAGCTTTTGATAAAATAATCAAAACTGAGCAGACATGTTATAAATAATTGATATGGAAGTCATTTATCAATAGAAAAAGACTATCATCTTTGACAACATTATTCAGAAACTTTCTAGTGGCTCGTTCAGTAAAGAGAAGACTATAGGGTCCTCGCTGCATATTTGTAGATGCAGTACACATCTCGAATTTGTTGTACAAATGAAAGAATATATTATTGTCATATTAATTGCTTATTATCATTTTAGCAGTTAAAGGTTGTCAACAAGTTCGGTGTCTTAATGGTGGTACTTGTTATGAAAATTTACCAGGTGTACCTATTTCAACTCATTGCTCATGTAAAAATGGATACACTGGAAAATTTTGTGAAATTGGTTCGTAGATTTTGAATTCAATTATGATTTAGTTACTTTATTTTTGATCTTTTTCATAGAATATTTTCGATGTCAATTAAATGGTCGTTTTACTGATGAATATAATTGTGCTAAAGGAAAATATTTTGAATGTATTCATTATGGATATGGTATGAATTTTGATTGTTTTTTAATATGTATTTATTTTTTTTTGATCTACGAAATTTAGATGGACCAAATAAAAATGGTGTATTATTAAGTCGAAATTGCCCTTCATCACTTCGATATAATGTTCTTACTGATCAATGTGATTATGCAGCTAATGTACCATGTATTGAAAGTGAAACAGAACATTTTCGTTTTTAAATTGTTGCTGTTGTTGTTTTGTTTTTCGAATATTAACTTAGATAAACTTTATGTTAATCATTAATTGTTGTCTTCTTAGAATTTTTAATGATATTTTAATAATAGATGATTCTAAATTAGCTTAGAATAACCAATAATATTTCATGTCTTTTTACAATGATGAATTAATATATATATATATATATATCTAGCTGTTTTGAAATTGTAATTATGATTGCAAAAGAATTATTACTTAATATTAAAGTATTATTGTCATATACTTAAAATCACAGAATGCATTCCATATATTTGTTGGTTATTTATCTACATCTTGAATGAACTGATATAATTGTATATGACCATGAAAAATAATTGTTTTTAGTGATTTCTTGCTGAAGTTAATAAGCTGTACTTTGAAATACAAGAGTGTGGCTGGGTTTACTGATATTGACATCCACATCCACATCCTTATCACTTGTATATGTTGTAGGCTGTTATAAGTTAGTAAATTATTAGGCACTCGGCGATGGCAATATAATAGTATTTGTATATTTTCAAACCTATGTTGAGTTTGTTTTAGAGTCCTATAGAATTCTATATTCCGATCTTCTTCTCGATAATTTTGAAATTCTACCTGAGATCAACTTAACCAACAATGAAATGGACACACTCTTGCATCTTGATTAGCATGTCAAGCGAAGTAAATGATCGGCAGAAAAACACCATAATTTAAAGAACAGTTTCTTCTCATAACTGGATAAGACAGAATTTCACATCAGCAAGTTGCATTGTAAACAGTTTTGTTATTGCTTCTTTTTACAAGTTACTTTATGCTAATCTCAGAATGTATTTGCAAGCTATAGAGTGTTTGGCACTAGTACAATTCGTCGCACATGCATTGTAGAGAATACATTGATTGAAATAAGTAATTTAGTTTAAAATGTTATACAATTAATCGCCTTAAAAAAAATTTTGTTTAGACTCATAAGAATCTTTTTTCATAATACAATGATTTTCTCAAAAATAAAGTAGAGATATCAATTTAAAGCCTATTTTAAAATTTAATTAAAAAATTGAAGTTTGATTTTGGATAAAATTATATGTACAAAAATTAAAAAAAAAGTTAATTTTTTTCAATTGAAATTTAACATTTTATTTAAAACGAAGCTGAAAATTAAAACAAAAATATAAAATTGAAAAAAAAAAAATTTTACGAATCTAAATAAAAAAATGAAAGCTTCTTATTTATTGAAAGCATAAATTTTAATGAGAAAAAAAGAACTTTATTTCTAACTTGTCAACATAGAATTTTATCCAAAATCAAACTTCAATTTTTTTAATTAAATTTTAAAATAGGCGACTATAAATTGATATCTCTACTTTATTTTTGAGAAAATCATTGTATTATAAAAAAAAGATTCTTATGAGTCTAAACAAAATTTTTTTTTAAGGCGATTAATTGTATAACATTTTAAACTAAATTACTTAATTCAATCAATGTATTCTCTACAATGCATGTGCGACGAATTGATCGGTCACCGAGTATTTGCTTCTCGTTCGTGTTTTTTTTTATTGTTGATTCTAACGCTAGAAAACTCGTATTGTGAATTGATCGAATATTTGCATATGTGAATAGTGAAGATAAACTTTTTATTATGTACTCAACAAAAGTAAAAGAAATGCACTAACAGCTATTCTCCAATGGTGATGTTAATTGCTGTAAATATGAGAAACATAATGAATGTATGCGTTTAAGAGAAAAGAAATTACAACGGTCTCTATTCACTTTATTGGTTTGAAAAGAAAACAGACGCTGAAATATTTGATTCAATCGAAACACTCTAAAAAAATCGTAACGTTTCAAATGGCTGTTTCATGTATCTACCTTCTGTTATTGTCGATAGAGATTCAAGTATTGGTCTATGCATCTCATTTTCGTGGTGGGATTATCAGTTGGTGAGTGTCCTTAGATAAAAATGAGCTCACGCATCAGTGATCAAACTGAGTGAGGTTTTCTTAGTAGATGCATCGAATGTTAAGAAAAGGAGAAAATACTATACCACCTCAAAAGAATTGTTGATCACGTTTGTTATAATCCACAAGAATAGAAGTGCCCGATTTGCTCACTGTGCATTTTGATACTGCTATACAAAAGTCCACTACAAAAATATCACAAGACAAACAAACAGTCTATTTTATTTCTTCTATGGTTCTATCTTTACGATATAAATTATGCCTAAAATGTGTCTCTACTCGGATGTGATTCAATCCATCATTAGCAAACGTTTTTATTTTATTGTTGCAATGCTGACGATGACTATCGATTCATTGGACAACCGGTGCTCGTATCTTGAACAAATGAGGCATTTTTACTTTAAAAACAACAAAATTAAAATAATCAGGGTGTGAGTGTGGAGTGTAAGAATGAGTAACTGAACTACCCGCACCTACACCGCACCCACATCCCCACACCCACACTCTAAAATAACAACAACTCAATTGTTGTAGCTGAAATTTTTTTTTGCATGTGCAGAACTTGTTAGTAGATGGATCTACAAAAAATTTCAGCTTAATCGGTTAAGGCGTTCTCTAGACATGGCATGCCAAAAGCCTCTTCTCGTAATAATAGAGTTTTTTGTAAAAGTTCAATAAAATGTTGAGGGTTCAATATTTTTTAATCGACTTTCGTCAAAAATTATGAAATTCTTGCCTCTATCACATATGTTAAAATGAGCTAAATCGGAGAATATCGATTGAGCACTGTTGGTCGTGACTTATATGGACGGACTCTTATGTCACTCAACATTCGAGTTCTCGATAATTAGAAAAACTCGTATATTAAGTTTACATGATCTTATCAATGGTTATTAGTATGAGTAATTAGTTCAACTATTTGTCTACTAGAAAACTTAGGCTCTTTAATACTATGCAGTATAGAACATTGAACATACAAAAATTCATTCCATAACTGACCAATATAATCATAATTATTCATTGATAGGCGAGCATTGAATACCACACCATCGGGCTCCACCGTCCAAGTTCTGGTTCATCAGCGCTATGCGTGGCGTCGTTCTTTTTGGTCATCGAATATGTGCGATGATGCTATGATTACTTCTCAAGGTATTATCGGCACGGGTACTGGCACGTTGATGTGTTTTACAGGAGGCAACTGTGGTTCGTTTGCATCTGTCTCCGCTGATGTATCATGCACCGATTACAGTGCGACAACTGACTATTCATTGGGTGAAATATTTGACACATATACATTACCTCTTAACGCTTCATTTATTAACGCATTTAATAGTAGTGCCTGGCTTTCATTGGCTATAGGTGGCGGCAGTACTTGGCAAGTAACAAGTAAACTTGATTTGACAGTTCGACCTGATGGCCGTATCAATACTTCACCAGTGACTTCAACACTTCCCATCATCTACCGAGCGATAAATGTTCAGCATGTACATGTTGTGCAAATGGCCGATGCTGACAGCTCGGATACACTTCGATGTCGTTGGGCAACAAATAATGTACCGACTAACAGCAATAACTGGGATGAATGCGGCTCTGTATGCGAGCCAAGCTTGCCTTCAGGATATACTCTTTTTGGTGATAATTGTACTCTTGTTTTTACTCTAACTACTGCCGACTACTATGCTGTTGCTTTGCAAATCGAAGATTACTACACCTCAACTTCACCGACTCCAATGAGCTCAGTTCCGATTCAATTTTTATTTTATGGAGTTGTTGATCCCGGTGGTTGTTCAACACCTCCTTCCATCATTGGTGTTCGACCTAATTTAGGTTTGATTTTATTCAACATATTTTCTTTATCTAAATAATTTTTTTTTCTTATAGCTTGCATTGGAACACCAATTGGTAAGTTAGAATCTTTTCTCTGACAAAATCCATAATTCTAAAATTACATTAAACGTGACTCTTTCCCAAAGTGGAGCTTTTATGACGGCACATTTGTTATCTGAGTCATTATAACCTATGTCAGCTTTCACACTTTTCTCGAGCTTGACTGCGACGACTTTGAAACATGAGGTATCAGCATCAACTCTGAATTGAACTTCTAATGAACTTTCAACTGGCATTTTCTATTTTTTTGCACGAATAATGATTAAAAAAAAAGCACAATCACGGAAACGCACTAGTCATTTTTGTCTGTCTTTTGAAAATGTCGCTTGTTCAAAGTTCAATGATGTATAACAGACATTAAAAAATCGATTTGTTGTGTTATTATGTGGCACAAAACAGTTTCACTCTCAAATAGAGGCATTGACCAAATGTTGATACATGCAAGAGAAAAAGACATTAATTCACATGAGACTATTTATCCAAATGAGTGAGGAATCTCAATATGTAGTGAGTTCAACTTTCTCGCTATATTCTCTAACAAAAATTGGTAATTGTCTTTCATAAAAGTTCCAGTAAAATGAGAAGAGAGAAATATTTATGAGGAAAAACAATCAGTAACATCAAAACCAGATCGTTTTTATTTGGAAACTCGAAACTCAACAGGAGTCGACGAAAAGTTTGATTTCTTACCTGTAATCGATATTCAGTCATGATTCATATTCAATCAATATTTAAAACAAAACTAATGAAATCTGTTACGCTTTTATCAGGTCTTCTTACCAATGAAACGGTGATAGCTCAAGTCGGTTGTCCAGGCAAGAGTATTGTGGAGTTCACGACAAGTTCACCAATTGGTCTTATTAAAAGTGCTATCATCAATCCAAGCACTGGTTGAATCATTTCTCTTGTTTTCTCACTTCATGTTTACATTTTTGTAATATCTATGCAGGCATCTACATGATCTTACTTCTTTTTACACCGACTGCCAGTCAATATGGTCCTCAAGGGTTTTGCGCAGGAGCGATTGACAGTACGAATGTGCAGTCGGATCCCTGGTGCATTACGTTTTTGGTCGGATTCACTTCACCCGATTTACAAGAACCATTAATCGTTCAAGGTTCTGCCTCTCCTGTTGGCACCGTCTTTGCCAATCAGAGCATTTTTTCGATTCAGAGTAAGTCAACTTGATATAGACAATAGTTTATGAACTCAATTAATGTCAGGTAAAAATGGAATGCTAGTGAATCGACCAGGTCACAACGGAACATATGTAAGTTTTCATGATGCAACATTGAATGGTACAGTAGTACTCTCATACGATGCTGGTTGGTCATCAAACATCATCTACTCTGGCAGCACCATCATTATCTATGCTCCATATGCCTGGACTCCTGGTCATCTTTATTACATTACATTCGATAGTGGTTTGTTTTTTTATTCTATTTAAATATTACTCTGTTTCAAACTTTTCTTCTTCAGGAGTATCAAGTGGTAATGATTTCTGTCGTAAGTTCTATCATTTATTTTTCAGTAAAGAAAATAAGAGAAGATGATGTCGAATAGATGCTGAATCACAACCCATTGTCGATCCCACTTTTTGGCAATTCGATATTTGGAATCCAGCTGTATCAAGTACCACAACAACAACAACAACTGCTCCAACTACCCATACGGTGACGACAAGAGTGAGTGAACAAGAAGTCTTCACGTGGAATATATGCTTTACATAATTGTATATAGGCTCCTAGCACGACCACACCAAATGTCAATCTGACAACGACAGGTTTAATCGTTACTACGACTACGGTTGGATCAACTACAACCACTACAACTACCACAACAACATCCGTGACAATTGTTACAACAAGTACGTTCGTTTCATATTGATTCATTTTGTCATATTGAACAGGAACATATTTTAAACAGTTCATGTTTCGAACTGATTGAAAAAATTGTCCGGTTGAGAATTTCATGACTAGTAATATTTTAGTGAACAGATATGATTGACTTTATTAGTCACGCATAGCTGGAACTTTTACTCATTTTTTTTATTCGTGTGACTTTTAATGTTTAATAACGTAAAATAATCATCTGGTCCACTATCAATCAACCAATTAGATGAGAAAGTATTTAGAAAAAAAAAGAGAAAGCCGGATAATATTCTATTCTGGTATCCTATAGATTGGAAACTTTTCATCAAAATTCAGTGAAATATGTCCTCTGATTATATCTCACAGATCCAAAGCTTGATATCAAAGTTTTTGGATTTTGAGGTAACATCAGGGGTTCAAAAATAAATTTTTGTTTCATCTCAATCTCAATGTAAATACAAATATATCGATTCGAGCATGTTGATTACGAATATCATGTATAGAATGAATGGAACTGTACTTTCTGTATGATAGTGATAGTACAAGGTGGTCAAACCGAGAGTGTCTCTCTTGAAGTATCGCATATTGTGAGCTTCTACCGTAAGAGAACATGTCGAGAAAATATTTTTTTCTACGTCAAACTCTTCAGCTCTATCTGAATTCCTGAATCAAAGCTTCAGATAATTTTAAATGTGAAATCAAACTCACGATTCCAAGTGAAAATGAAGGAGTTTTCAGCTGTAAGCTTGTTTATGCTGGCCATGCGCACTTTTGTAGTCGGTGCTGTCGAAGCATGAAGTTTTCTAAAAAATCAGCAAAACTTTGAGCTTTATCCAATTGTATTATCAAAATAAATATAAAAGTGTACGTGTAGACTTTCCAGAAAATGTTTAGAGAATCTTCAAGAAGTTACATTAACCTTTTAGACACTAATAGGCGAGTATATTAATGAAGGCAAAGAATGCTTCCTGCCAAAGTTTTTTTAAAAAGTAATATATGAATTCTTAGATGCATCATAACGTCGTCTCGATAATCAAAAATATCGTTGCAGAGACACAAAGTATTATTTCTCTACACTTAACAGATTGACGAAAAAATGTGAAAATTTTGTTAGATACGTTATTTGCCATTATCAACACCCTTTTTTATTTCTTTTGAGAATGCTATTGGATAGAATTCCAAAATTTGCCCATCTGTGTAAAACTTCATGCTGCGGCATCATCGACTAATTACGAAAATGTGTATGACAAGTATAAACAAGCTCACAGTCGAAAAATCCTTCATTTTCACCTAGAATGGTCAATGCGATTTTTCATTTTTCTTAGATTTTCACTTTCAATAGTGAGAGAACAAGATGATTAAAAAAAAAGAAGGGACAGTTTATGAATGTTATGCTTGCTGAATATCTTTTATTGATGTTTATTAGTCTTTGAATATGGCGTTATGATTGAAATTATTATGTAAGGAGATATTACCCCGTAGCTTTGTGTCGAAATAAAACTGGATTCTGGTTTAGTTTAATTTTACTTCAAGTTAAAAGTTACATAAACCACGTATATTAAAATTAACATTGAAATAAGAAAAACATTTTTTTCGTATCTCTGATACTGTGTAAAAGCTCCAAAATTTTAATATCACAATATCATGCATTGGACGAGTTGAATATGATTAGAGTTTCCATTTGACTTGATCTCACTGAAAAAATCTCCAATGCATGGGATGTCATAAAATGACATTCTCCGCTCGTCTTTATCGTCTATAGGTAAGGTGCTGAGAACAAAATGTTACAACATACATATTCAATTGAAAGATCTATAGATTTTGTCAATATTGGATACTAAAATAAGACTTTGTGATATGGAAAAATAAATACAGTATTAGAATAAACAAGATGTTAAACTGCAATACAAAGAGCAGTGTAAACTATTCTTTTTAATGCTGAACTAAAATGATTATTCAGTGGTATTTTGATTAGTCGCTTATTGGCGATGGTTGATGCAAAACATCTGACTGTATTAAATAAGTAATTGATGCTAATCAAGAAACATAGCATTTTGCAAATTTGTATCGCCTGAAAACAAAGAGAGCTACATAGTATAATTATTCTTTTTTGAAGACTCTTTTTTTCGGTTAGTAGTTACAAGACTTTTCGGTTGCGCGAAACTACGCATTTGTACCATATTTGGTTGGACTAGTTTTCTTTGAAGTCTTAACTAAATGAAATGCCACTATCAGCGTATCAATAAAATTATGCCCAATGCCCTTGGATACACAATTAAATTGTTCTTTTTTAGCTGTTACAACTACATCAACATTGGTGACGGATATGTCTGTAATGACACCGAAGGATATGGAAGAAGTTTGCAAGCAGCCAGTGATCATATGTACAGTCACCATGATGGTTGTTATGGGTCTAATAAACACTGTCGGAATGTTTATTCTATTTACTAAACTAGATAATATGTTCAATCCACATCGAATGTTAGCTAAACGACGGTATCAACATTTTTTGAATCGGCTTAACAATAAATCGAAATAGTGTGCTGCTACCAAGCGTAAATAAAAACAATATTTTTTAAAATCACCAAATCTTTTACCAGAAATAATTATTAAAAGCTGCGTATTCGATTTGATTTTAAGAAATAAACGAAAAGTTCTGAGCAAAATATTGCGAGACCGATATAGAACCAATAGCACATAAATCTACGGTTTGTCAGAGCAACATTCCCATGCCAAAAAATGTACCATGACATCCGATTAACATTGATTTTATTGAGCAATGAAAGCAGATTTATTTGTGCTATTTTAATCAAAGAATAATTTATTTTTATTTGATTTCTTGTCAAATTCTTTACACGAATTTATCAACATAAATAAAAGTTGATGTAAATAAGTATTACTCTCAATTAAATCTTCTTGTCAATTTAAAATAAAAGTTTATTTAATTTGCTAAAAGATAAATCTCTCTCAAACAATCGTTAAGTAATAAGTATGAAATTAGGATTTCTAGCGAGAAAAAAGAAAGAGATATATCTGAAAAATAAAATATATTATGTAATGAAATCTATTTAAGATTAATCGAATCAATATTAATATTTTCATGTTTCGTCATAGTAACATAATCATGGAAAGACGATTACAAGTTTTCGACCTTAAAATAAGATATATGTATGTTTCTAGAGTAAGACTTCTCCGGCTTTATGTAAGTTCGCCAATCTGGGATTTCGCCAACAGTATATTCGCCATTGGCGAACGTCGTGGAGAAATTCGCCGATAAACTTTTGTTTCCTCATGGTGTATTCGCCAATTGCAAATCTCTAGTGTGAAATTCGCCAATTGTAATCCGTAGAATTATGACTCAACTAAATTGATGATAGCGTGTGAGTGTGGGTGTTGTCTGCGTGCGTGTTGGTAGGTACCGGTAAGCGCATGAAATACTCGGGTTACGGCCACTTGCCTGCTAGACAGATGCCCGCCGGACAGATGCCCGCAAGACACTTGCCCGTGCGATACATGCTCGCAATGGGCAATGTTGAGGGTGAGGGTGCGGGCAAGCATCATACGGGCAAGTGTCTTGCGGGGATCTGTCCGGCGAGCATATGTTCTGCGGGCAAGTGGCCTAGATTCGAAAGACTCATACCCACACCCACGCCCAC